ATACATGTCGCCACCCGCCGTGTAGATGACATGGTCGCTCCGACTGAGAGCGATCCTTCCCAAGTTAAGGTGCTGGTGCCACTTGTTCTCGCCGGCGTACCAGACGTATACCCACTGAGTGGTCGCCATCCTGGCCAGCTCCAGCCGTCAGGGCACGGACAGGCGCAGCACGCGAGCTCCTCGGCGTCGGTCGGCAGCAGCTCCCCAGCCCGCCTGTGATGAGCGCCCCGACGAGCACCCCCACAAGGAACAGAGAGAAGCTCACCGTCCAGCAGCGGCACACCTGCTCCCCTGGGCAGGTCGGCGGCGCGGGGCAAGGCCCGCACGACGGCCCCGGCTGGGACGCCTGGGCCCAGTGCGGCCCGCCCAGGACGCTGGGCAGGGCCGGGCACGGCGGGATGCTCGGGCACACGAGGCTCACGTTGCAGCTCGCCGGGGCTGGGAGCGACGGGCAGGGCGGGCAGCGCGACAGGTAGCTCACCAGCCCAGCGCCCGCCACATCCGCGACGCGCCCCAGCCACGGTGGAAACATCCGGCCACTCGGCCGGCCCTTGCGCCTTGAGCCCCCGAATGGCGGCGGATTGCGCAGATGAAAACCGTGCAAGCACAAATATCATCCTCATCCTCATCCTCATCCTCATCATCCTCCTCGTCTTTCCTTCCTCTCCTCATCTTCTTCTTTCTCCCCCATGTTTTCCCCGACTGGTTTCCACAACGGCTGGGGGAACACGTAGTCGGATATCTCAGCCGAGCTCTGACCGCAACGCTCGGCCACATAGGCGCGTCCGAAAGGCAGTGGCAGCGGTGATTCGCTGTAGGCGTCCTCGTTAGAGATCTCACGTTTTTCTGTCTCTTCCCTGGTCTCGAGGTGCTGTTTTAGCCGTTCTGGGATGACTGTCGGCCTGCCTGCATGCGCTCCTCGGCTCCCTCGCGGCATCTTCAGTGTCGGCGAAGCCAGCTGTAAGGCCTCTCCAGTACCGACCGATGCATGTTCCTACCGGCTCGCGAATGACGCACAGCATTCACAGAGCCATTGGCGCGCCCAGGTGTTCCCACCACTTGCCAAGATTGCTACGTACCCTAGTGCTCCCACCGCTGCTCCTTGTACTGAAAGTGCGCTCCCCTGCAAAGGCTACATCCCACTGGCACCAATTCGACGCCAGAGCACAAGACACATCTGGCGAATAACTGTGCCAAGCAAACAACCGACATGTTCTTCCAGAGAACAGGAAGGCGTTCTTACTCGTTCGTAGAGAGCTGTCTTCCGTCACCAGGATTTTCCAATGGTTTGTGAAGGTTGGGCCACTTGTTAGCTGTTCCGTCGTTCCGCCTCCTGCAAAAGAATTTCAAAGGCCCCCAGTACACGGTGGCGGATACGTACGACAACGCAACTGGAGAACGCACAACGCAATTACATGCTGATCTTACCTCTTGGTCCACGGGCTCTTTGCCGACACATCCTCGGAGACAAGTGGAGAATGCCACGCTCACCCCTGAAAACATGACACCATATCCTTGATCCACCGTAACGCAATGGCCATTTAGTGAAATTGCCCTGCAACAACTACTACGAAATAATAATCAATTCGCGAGTAGGCCTGCGGCCAGTAACTCTGAAGCCATGACCACTTGAGCACGCGCGAGGAACTGTCTACACACAGGCACCGGTATGCATACGCACGGTACTCGTTCTTGAACGTGCAACTGTCGCTCGCAAGCCACACTCACGCGTTCACCCTGCCACATGCGATCGCTACACGGCTGCACCAGACAAGCGCCCGTCTGCGAGCACACGACCCTCAAAAGATACAGGTCTCAAGGCGCTCGAAGGCAACCACACCTTGCACAGTGTAGACGAAGCGTATCCTTCAGGCACAGTCCTTCTGCAGCGCCGAAGGGACGCAGACAGCGCAGCTCGAGCTCAGGCGTCGGCATGCAAGCTGCCCAAAGTTGCTGCGCGCTCCGGGGAAGTGCCGCCGGGAGGCACACGCCGGGAACGCCGCTTCACGGGTTCTCCCAGCTCCTCATGCTCCTGAGCTCGCTCTCCACGGGGTGCCCCTCGTGGAGAAGCAGAAGACGGCTAAACCCTCAGCTTTTGGAGGTCCGCGCGGACCTCCGAAAGCTTCTGTAAGGAACCGAACTCTATACACCGACGCCTTTGTCCGGCCTCACACTGAATCTCGCACAGGAAAGCGGATCCTGGTGTATACGGGATCTTGGTGTATACATTCTCTGTTGTTTCCCTGGGGAAACGGGGAAACAAGTATACACCACACCACCCCGACGTCGTCCCCGACCCTCAAAAAAGTCCTAGGATTGAAAAACCGTCCGCCACTGGTAATGTATATGCTCCAGTTTCCGATTCTGATCAAGCAGCTTTGTCTTCTTCGACCTCCGCAAGTTTCTGCTCGAGGGCGAGCAGCTGGTCACAGCAGCCGACCATACCGTTGATCATCGCCACCTCGCTCACGCAGAGCGAAGGGCCTGCGGAAAGCTCCCACGCCCCGCCCTGCCAGGCGGTCCGGAGGCCGACCTGTTGGGGCTGCGAAATCGATGCCCCCCTCCAGCTCCTCCCCTTCTCCCGTCCCATGCCACGTGAGGTGTAGCGATGCCGAGCCTCCACCTCTGCACCCCCATCTGCACCTCCAGGAGGCAGCCCCGATCGCTCAGGGCGAGGTGCGCACAGCCATCCTGCCACACCACAGGGAACACTGAGTAAGGAGCGACGGGGCTCAGCTGGCCACTACGAGCCTCGGCCAATGATAGGCTTCCTGACCCAAATCCCAAGAACTGCTCAGAAAACTGCAGCCCCTCCTGAGCCCAAAGCGGTCCTTAGTCCAAAGTCTTGAATCATACTCCTCAGAGTCTTGAGCTGTACTCCCCGCGCCGAGCCTGGTTGCAGGCCGGGAAGAAGTCGGGGTGGGTGCTCAGCATCGGCAGCTTCATGGCAACCGAGCAGCAGAGGCCGTTCCCCAAGTTCCCCGGGTCCACCGTGAGGTAGCCTGGAGGGCTTCGTCAAAGCTAATGCCTGGCCCGCCCCCATTGAGGGGCACCGTAAGGGGGGCCCGGCTCAGAGGGGGAAACATCGCCCAGGAATCGGCGATACATCGCCGATAAATCGGCGCGGCGCTGAATACCAGCCAGCCGCGTGGCACAAGAGGCCGTCCGCGTCGTCGTTAGTACGACGGCGTGCAGCTCTGACAATTGTTATGTTTGTGTTGTTTTCTGCTTATGTCAATCCCCGAGCCCTGCACAGGGCCGACTTGTTCGACCGGGCGTAGCGTAGCGTAGGCCCCCGAGAGCGAATCCGCACGGTCCTAGGCGGGGCGGGCCAACGGGCCCCTATCGGCGATGAATGGGCGCTCGGGGGTCGATGCACTCAACCCTAAGCCTATCCCCCCTAACGTTGCCCCTTTGAATTTAGGCCGGGCGTGTCCCCCTACAGTGGGATGTTGGACGAAGAGTTAAAAATAGACAACAAATATTCGAACATGCTCAGAAATACTCAACAAAACGTCACCTGACGAATTGTTCAAGTACTTGTGAATATTCTCCTGTAGAGGGACACGCCCGATTTAACTAACTTTGAATTGGCAAAACTAGATGGGGAAAGAGAGGCGAGGTGAAGGTGTGAGTGGTGGTGGGACTTGAGGGGAGAAGGCTAGTAAATCCAGACATCCTCCGATGTGAATATTTTCAATCCGCGGCCCAGAGGCCTAAACCTGACCTGACCTGGCCAGATCTGTTCTTGATGGCCCTGGGAAGGCAACCCCCCAGAGGCCTAAACGAAGGAAAACCGCCGCGAGTGAAAAGATCGTCGGAGGTCTGGGAATACCGAGAGTGCCGACCCTTCCCACAGGATCGGCGTCTCATCCCGAGTCGTTCTTGTGGACCGTCCCAGGGTCTGGCGAAGGCCCCTGGAGGCCGAGAACGGCCAAGAACCTCCCGTCGTGATTTGTGCCACGACGCGGCCATGTCTGGATATGGGCAGGTACCTATTTGATCAACGGCGGCCGAGGCGATCATCGGCCATGTAGCTGTAGCCCTCGCTCTTGAGCTGCGCCTCCAGCGCCTGCCGAGACATCCAGCGTCTCGAAAAAATCGAGACAGAGGTTTTTCCTCGTTTGCGGCCTCTCGGGGACCTTACTGGGCCTCGGGACCGTCAAAAAACGGCCAGGGATGAAAACCCCGTCCCGGGGGAAGTGGTCGAGAGGTCGGGGGCCCGTGCCTCGAAAAAATCGAGACGCCAGATGTCCGGGTGGGGGAGGGGGGGGAGGGCAAAAGGTACCAATACCGCCGCTCCACGGATTCTCTCCTGGAGCGCAGTCTGACCAGAACTCCAAGGAGCATCCAGCCGCGGTGACGAGGGCTCACCAAAACGAGCAGCGGTATCGACATCTGTTCCTCCTCTGAGTGTCCGCGCGGCGGGCGCTGCGGCGGCAGCAGTGCGAGAGCACACGCGCAGCGGGTGCAGTCTGACCAGAATTCCGAGGAGAACCCAACCGTGGTAATGAGGGCTCACCAGGACATGCCTGGACCCCCGACGTCCTGATTTGCTCATGACGTCGACCCCTAGAGGTGTCGACCCATTCCCTGGGACCAGCTTTTCATCTTGAGTTGTGTTTTGACAGTTCCGAGGCCCGGTAAGGGCCCCCGGAAGCCGAATGACTCGAGGGGGTCTGGGAGCATCGGCATCGGCATCGGCATCTATTCCTCCTCTTTGAGCAGGGACCGACCGTCCTGGCATACCTATAGGCCTACCACGAAATCTTCTTAGAACCAAAGAATGTTCGAATCATAAAACCAAGGTTCGTAGGACCCAAAGCCCATGCGTGAAAACGAGAACGCCTCGGTCAGCAGTGCTCTAAGAACACCCTTTGCTGGGCCTACAGGCAGGCCAGGACGCCTCGCCGCTGCTCCACCTCTGCGCGCCTGCGCGCACCGGCGGACGTCGCCGAATGCGGCCTGCAGGCCTCCCCCCGGCCGCGACACGATGAACCTCAGGTGGTCCTCCTCGTTGCAGCGGACGTGCATGCCCTGCGCCTCGGGGGGCGGCCGTGGCGGACCGAGCTCCCCGGGGGCGCTTCCCGCGGCGGCGCGCGCCCAGAGCGGGCGGGCAGAGGGGGGCGGGCCTTCCCCAGACGTCCGGCGCCTCGAAGAAATCGAGGCGGAAAAAAATTGTTCCTCGCTTTCGGCCTCTCGGGGGCCTTACCAGGCCTCGGGGCCGTCAAAAAACGGCCAGGGATGAAAACCCGGTCCCGGGGGAAGCGGTCGAGAGGTCGGGGGCCCCGTGCCTCGAGAAAACCGAGACGCCGGATGTCTGGGTGTCAGAGGGCCCATAAGGCCCCCGGCCTTCTGAGCTCTCTGAGCTTTGTCCGAAGCCCCGCCGCCTTCTGAGAAGGTCTGCCCCCTTTCACTCCCCCCCGGGACGCGCCGCCAAGCTTGACCCGAAGGCCTCACACATGAGGTCCGGGGACTCGCCGATGCGTCGGCCATGCATCGGCGACGCTGGGGCGCAACGGATGTTCATGCCTTGTGCCTCTGGGCTGGGGAGACGTAAGACTCGTGTTCGGGGAACATCGGGGTGACCCTGCCGGGGCCGTCAGGAGAATGGCGAAACCCAGCCTGGAAAATCTGGCGCGGGGGATCCCGTTGCAGGCATCCCACAAAAGACTGGGCCGTCAAAAAAAATCGGAGAGGGCCCCTACAAAAGCGTCGGCAGGAGGAGGGGGGAAGAGGGAGGAGGAGGGAGGAGGGAGGAGGAGGGAAGAGGAGGGAGGAGGAGACAGGAGGAGGGAGGAGGAGGGAGGAGGAGGGAGGAGGGAGGAGGGAGGAGGGAGGAGGGAGGAGGAGGGAGAGATCCGAGTTCTGGCGAGCTCGAGTCTTACGCTTCCCCTCGAGGCGCCTCGAGGAACAAGGCCCAACGAAAATGTGGTGACCCGCGCTCTCGCAGATTCCCAGCCCCACTCTCTCCCCGCTGATCTGCGCTCGCCCTGTGGAGGTCTGCCCCAATGAGCTTCGCCTACACGAGGCCACCCCGCCCCTTTCTGTCGCACAGCGATTCGCGATGGTGAGAAATAACAACAACCACCGATGCGCTAAGATCACTGCTCCAGGGGCCATACCCTCCGTATCCTATCGCGGGAACAAAAAACGAACTGCGAGCACCCGCAGGGTCAGAGGCTCGGCTCGCGCACCCGCGAAACCTTCACGCTGCGATGCGCCTGCACAGGTAGGACGACACGACGGTGGCGAGTCAATGGAACTTGTTGACGCGCTTCTGCATGGGGATCCTCTTGAAGTGGTCGTACACCATATAGTCGAACCTGTTGGTGAGCCTGGCTTGTTTATTCTGTTCGTCGGTGAACTCGACCACATGAGTGGAAGGCCTCTTGTATGCTGTATCGAAGAACTCTTGGCGCCAACCGATCGCCGTCTCGAGATATGCTGTATCCTTGAAGTCCTCCGCGAACATCACGACCTCGAACTTCGACAGGCGCTCGATCGCCTTGTGCGCATGCTCCTCGGTAATCTCCCCTGCAGGGAGCGACCATACCGAATAACCGCCAAGCGTCCGGACGAGGAAATTGTCGTAGAACCACCACAGTCTCCAATCGTTTTTGAGGGGAGCTGCATGGTTGCAAGCATGGGTCAGATCGGTATCGTTTCCTCTCCTCACGAGGCAACTCATGGAGGCAATCGTCTCATCCGGTGTATACATCTCCATACTCGCCTTGGAGATAGCGAGTGTGTCTGGATCTCGAAGAAGAGTGCCATAATTAAAATGATTGTGACATAGATTGTATTCGTCCATGGTGTGCTCGATCTGAGCCCATGTGACATTCGACCAAGCAAAGTATTCGGCTCTCTTTGAACAATCGGCATGCGTCGCCTTTCCCTTGTCGACTGCGTCGGGCGTGTCGTACGGCCACCAGTTCCCGTGGAAGCTCGGCCGGACAACGTTTTCGTGGTTCAGCATTGCCATCGAGTAGATGAAAGTGCCCATGGACTTGTGTATGTGGACCCAGATCACCGGCTTTGCATGGGACACGTTGGCGCGAGGCACCCCTCCCTCGACAGGCGTGATGGCCAGGGGATTGTTCCTCGTCACGCGACCGCCCGCCACCTCCAGTGCCCGGGCGCAGCCCCCGGCGCCGAAGCCCAGCTCGGCCATGTCCTCGGCCAGGAGGCCGTAGTCGAAGCAGCCAGCCGGAAGGAGCCGCGCCGCCGCCCGGCGGGCAGTCCGGCAGCCCCAGGGCCGCCGGGCAGGCCTCCGGCACCCCGGAGCTGGCCCGCGCCATGTCAGGGTCGGCGCCCTGCTGGCCCAGCGTCAGCGCCCGCGCGCCGAGGCGGAGCGCAGAGGTCGCCGCCAGGAGCACGGGAGAGCGCATGCTGAGATGTCTGGTTGCACGGACGTGAGCGAGAGGCGGTGTGGGCTCGGAGGGTCGCAGCTGGACCTGCGCTTGAGCCGCGGAGCGGGGCAACAACTTGCCATCGCGAGCTCGACCAGCACGGGAGCGGCAGAGAGCGCCATGGTGCTGGCAGGGCAACGTCGGTTTGTTCATGCGGCTCAAGGGCGTAATCCAGCTGGCTGGTCTGTCCCTCAACCGCTGTGATAGCCATTGTCCTGCCACTGCCTCGAAACCGTCATTGTCGCAGCTTGTCACGAGGATTCGATATAAGAGTGCAACGTTCTCGGGCGTCCAAAATGCAACACTTGGCCAGCGCATCCGGTTGGCTAAAGCCCGGGGACAAGGTATCATAAGAAGAACACATCATCCTTCCCGGAAGGCCCAACTATTCCGTTCGCTGATCGCCCTCTTATTCAGACGTCTCCGCGTGTCGGCCACGATGGGAGCAATGGTGATGAGATGCAATGGTTCACCCGGAAGCGAGGCCACCGTGAAACACCAACGACCACAGTCTCGCCCAAGGGAACTTTGGACGACACACGGCACCGCGGGGCGCCCCGCTACGCACCGAATAACCACAGGACGCCTTGACTGATCAGGGAATGCAAAGGCCGCGCCCGCGCAGGCGGCGGCCGCGCCGGCGCGTTCCCTCTGCGCGCCGCCCTGCTGTGCTGCGAGTGCGCGCGCGGCCCTTCCCCCCCCAGCCCTGTCAGCCCAGCATGCCCAACCCCACCCTGCCCGAAGCCAATACAAGCTAGAACCTCCGGACATGGCACGAGACACTACCGGCACCGAGGAGGGGCACAGTCCTGGTGTCCAACTGGCCTCGCCCTGAACATGTCGCATCCGTCACCGCCCGTGCAGCGCAGCGGGCACGCGCGCAGTGTCACGTTCGAAAAACGCTGCTCCGCGCGCAGCAATACGCAGCCCCCTCGCGAAACGGGGAACACGATACAACACCAGTGTTCAACGTCTTTCTGCTCGCAAAGAAAAACGGTGCCGTTCGCTGGTACAGGGCCGATACTCACCACTGACTTCTCCCATCCCCGCATGGCCCCACATGGCCTCAGGACAAACCAGAAGGTTGGCCCCATGAGGGCCTAAGACCTGCCGATCGCGGCCTCCAAGCCACAGTGGTCATAGATGGTCGAGGGTTTTGCCCCCCCCCCAGTGCTAAGGCCATCGGGCCCCCCCCCCGCGCGATGGTCCCCCCCCCTCCCCCTGTGGATGTGGTGCGGGTGTGGTGAGTTGATGTGGGTGTGTGGGGTGACCCAATGTCCTCCCCCCCCCCTGTGGGTGTGGTGGGGGTGTGCGTGTGACTGTGATTGTGGTGTCGTGCTGACGTGCTTTCGGAAAGCTCCGGTGCTCGACGTCGTCGCCGCCGCCGCCGCCGGTGCCGTCGACGTCGTCGTTGTCGTCGTCGTCGTCGCCGTCGTCGGTGTTGTCGTCGTCGTCGCCGTCGTCGTCCGTCGTCGTCGTCGTCGTCGTCGTCCGCCGTCGTCCGTCGTCCGTCGTCGTCCTCCTCCTCCTCCGCCTCCTCTTCTTCTTCTTCTGATTATTGTTATCCTCCTTCTTCTTCTTCTCCTCCTCTTCCTCTTCCTCTTCCTCTTCCTCCTCCTCCTCCTTCTCCTCCTCCTCCTCCTATCCTCTTCCTCCTCTTTCTCCTCTTCCTGATCTTCCTCATCTTCCTCCTCTTCCTCCTCTTCCTCTTCCTCCTCCTCTTCCTCCTCCTCTTCTTCTTCTTAATATTATTATTATTATTCTTCTTCTTAGTATTATTCTTCTTATCATTGTATTTTTAGTATTATTAGTAGTAGTATTAGCATTATGATTCCTATCACTATTATTCTTATTATTATTATTCGCAGTATTCTTCTTATTATAATTATTATTAGTAGCAGTATTAATATTATTAACAGTATTAGTATTAGTATCAGTATTATTATTACTATTATTATTACTATTATTAGTATTATTATTATTATTATTATTATTATTATTATTATTATTATTATTAATATTGGTATTATTATTATTCGTATCAGCGAGCCCGCTCGAACGGAATGACCCTCAGGGGCATTCCATGCGAGCCCGCTCGCGCGGAAAGGACCTCCCCCGTGGCCCCTAGGGGGTCCCACCTAAAAGTTTGAATTCCAACGGCTATCGGGATCAGCGAGCCCGCTCGCACGGAATGACCCTCAGGGACATTCCACGCGAGCCCGCTCGCGCGGAAGAAACCCTCCCCTGTGGCCCCTAGAGGGTCCCACCTAAGAGTTGGAATTCCAACGGCTATCGGGATCAGCGAGCCCGTTCGAACGGAATGACCCTCAGGGGCATTCCATGCGAGCCCGCTCGCGCGGAAGGAACTGACCCTGTGGCCCCTAGAGGGTCCCACCTAAAAGTTGGAATTCCAACGGCTATCGGCAGCAGCGAGCCCGCTCGCACGGAATGACCCTCAGGGGCATTCCATGCGAGCCCGCTCGCGCGGAAGGGACTTCCCCTGTGGCCCCTAGGGGGTCCCACCTAAGAGTTGGAATTCCAACGGCTATCGGGATCAGCAAGCCCGCTCGCACGGAATGACCCTCAGAGACATTCCATGCGAGCCCGCTCGCGCGGAAGGGACTTCCCCTGTGGCCCCTAGGGGGTCCCACCTAAAAGTTGGAATTCCGACGGCTATCGGCATCAGCGAGCCCGCTCGCACGGAATGACCCTCAGGGGTATTCCATGCGAGCCCGCTCGCGCGGAAGGGACCTCTCCTGTGGCCCCCAGAGGGTCCCACCTAAGAGTTGGAATTCCAACGGCTATCGGCATCAGCGAGCCCGCTCGCACGGAATGACCCTCAGGGGCATTCCATGCGAGCCCGCTCGCGCGGAGGAGGAGGAGGATGAGGAGGAGGAGGTTTAGGAGAAGGAGGAGGAGGAGGAAGAGGAGGAGGAGGAGGAGGAGAACGAGGAGAAAGAGGAGGAGGAGGCGGGGATTTCAACCACTTTGCCGTCAGGAGGACGCGGTTGAAATGGACGCTGCTCAAGGCGGAGGAGGAGGAGGAGGAGGAGGAGGAGGAGGAGACGTGAGGATGAGGAGGAAGAGGAGGACGAGGAGGAGGACGAGGAGGAGGAGGAGGAAGAAGAGGAGGAGGGGGGACCAGGAGGAGGTGGATGACGAGGAGGAGGACGAGGAGGAAGAGGAGGAGGAAGAGCAGGAGGAGGAGGGGGAGGAGGAGGAGAAGGAGGAGGAAGAGGAGCGAGCGGGGAGGAAGGTTTCAACCACGGCGGCGTCGGGAGGAGGTGGTTGAAACGAAAGCTGGTCGACGAGGAGGAGGCGGAGGAGGATGAGGAGAAGGAGGAGGAGGAGAAAGAGGGGGAGGAAGCGGGGATTTCAACCACGGTGCCGTCAGGAGGCCGCGGTTGAAATGGACGCTGCTCAAGGAGGAGGAGGAGGAGGAGGAGGAGGAGGAGGAGACGGAGGAGGAGGAGGAGACGTGAGGGTGATGAGGAAGAGGAGGAGCAGCAGCAGGAGGATGACGAGGATAATGCCCTTGAGGGGTATTCCGTACGAGCCCGCACGCGCCGAATGGTCCTCATGGGGGTAGCAGGGGGAAGAGGAGGAGGTTTAGGAGAAGGAGGAGGAGAAGGAGGAGAAAGAGGAGGAGGAGGCGGGGATTTCAAACACGGTGCCGTCAGAGGGACGCGGTTGAAATGGACGCTGCTTAAGGCGGAGGAGGAGGAGGAAGAGGAGGAGACGTGAGGATGATGAGGAGGACGACGAGGAGGAGGACGAGGAGGAGGACGAGGAGGAGGAGGAGGAGGAGAAGGAGGAGGAAGGGGGGACCAGGAGGGGGTGGATGATGATGATGAGGAGGAGGAGGAGCAGCAGCAGCAGGAGGAGGAGGAAAAGGAGCGAGCGGGGAGGAAGGTTCCAACCACGGCGGCGGCGGGAGGAGGTGGTTGAAATGAAAGCCGGTCGAGGAGGAGGAGGCGGAGGAGGAAGAGGCGGAGGAGGAGCAGCAGCAGCGTCAGCAGGAGCAGCATCATTCTGATAGTGTACATAGCCCATACAAAATTAAGTTTTCATGTGGGGTCCATCCGTTGGAATAATTGTTTTCTCTTTCTCTCTCTCTCTCTCTCTCTCTTTCTCTATCTCTTTCTCTCTTTCTGTATATATGTCTATATTTCTTTCTCTCTTTTTGTTTCTCTCTCTCTCTCTTTCTCTCTCTCTCTCTCTCTCTCTCTCTCTCTCTAACCATCCTGTGGTGTTGGGTCCTCGCTTAGACGGGACAGCGCCCAACGTCTCCTCTCCTCATTTCTCCTCTCCTCTCTTCTCCTTTCGTCTTCTTCATCCTCCCCCTTCATCCCCCCCCCCTCCGTGCCTCTGGGCTCCGCGTTTCATGTCGGCACACCCAGCACACTCCGTGGCCCCATAGGGAGCTCCACCAAAGTAGACCTCAGCGGCGGCGTCCCCACTCGGTTCCCCAAGCCAGCACAGCGCTTCGTGGCCCCAAAGGGAACTCCACCGAAAGCCTCACTTGCGGTGTCCGCACGCGGTTTCCCCGCCCAGCACAAAGCTTCGTGGGCCCATAGGGAGCTCCACCGACGGCCTCAATGGCGGCGCCCTCATGCTGCCCCCCCGCCCATCACAGCGCGTCGTAGCTTCATAGAAAGACCTCCCCCGAGGGTCTCAGCGGCGGCGTTCGCATGCACGCCCCTCACCCAGCACAGCGCCCCAGGGCCCTGTAGGGGGCTCCAGCTGAGGCAGCAGCGGCGGCGTTCGCACGCGTCTCCCCCGCCCACCACAGCGCTTCGCGGCTCCAGCAGGAGACCCAGCTAAGGCCCCGGCGGCGGTGCTCGCACGCATCTCCCCCGCCCAGCACAGCGCTTCGCAGCCCCAGAAGGAGCTCCACCGAAGGCCTCAGTGGCTGCTCCCGCACGCCACCGAAGGCCTCAGCGGCGGCGGTCGCGGCGGCGCCCACGCGCCCCTCTGGCCCCTGGCCCCCAGCACGGCCTTGGCGCTGGTGCCGACGCAGTCCAGATCAAGCGGTGGAAGTGCGGAGTTCGTGGTTGCGCCAAGAATGCTGCGAGGTTCTTCAGTCCTCGGCCTGGCAGAGAATGCGGCCCATCAGCTCTTCGGGCACGACAACGGCCCCCCCGGCAGCTCCGCGCGGGACACCAGGGTGCCCCCATGGAGAGCTGGAGGAGGGCCCTTCCTCGGCAAAGGCTGCGGCGGCCAAGCTAAGGGAGGCGGCCGACAATACCAGGCCCTGGGAGCTGGCGCTGCGACCGCGAGCCTCTCGGCGGACGAGTACGAAACCACGGCAGCAC